TATGTTTGTTCTTTCATAATTTTTTCATTCATTTCTTATGAATGGAAGGCCTTGTCCACACAGAGATAGGTTTACGAAACTTGACTTTCGCGCAAAGTTCCGTGAACTTTTGCTGGTAGTGTTGACAGGGCTTACCCAAAAAATGTGTTCAACACCAGTAGACGCGTCTTATGCGCCCCTCCCCCGCTGGCATGTTCATTTGATGGGTTTCATTGATGTTTCAAAACGAATGAGAAGGGGGTGGCAAAATTCTAGCGGCCCATGGGCGGCAAGTAGGTAAACCCGGCCCTGTTATCAGAGTGATTAATAAATTTCGACCATCTTTATCAGGAGCGTATTGAGCTGTATTTTGGGGGGAGAATGAGTTGGTAGTTGGAATTTAACAATGCAGGACATTTTCTCCTGCCAAAAATTCAAAATCGAGAAAATATACATTTGATGGGAGAGAAGTCGTTGTCTTTGTCCTTCAGATTGAGTAATTTCAAGGAACACAACTTTAAACCTACTTTTCTCAAATCAAAATTGATGCGACTTAATACATCCCTATTAAGCGCGGTCCAATTTTAAGTGCGAGGAGGATTTTTGGGCGTCAGATCGGAAAATATGAATTATACTCCGCAATTGGCCGTTGCATTATTTGAAATAATTTGTTGTTTGATGTTTATCACTCAGATGGTTTCGCTCATATAAGATGATCAAATCCAAGAGGTTCAAGGGAGAACACAACAACAAACACGACAGCAATACTGATGAAGCTTTTGAAACTTCAATCAAGGAGCTTTTACTCCTTACGCGAGTCATTACGAATCAATTCTTGTGTACAAGTACGCTCCTCTCACCCAGGTAATAACTGTTTGCGTCAGTCATTCCTCTTTGTTCTCCATTTATCTGGTTTACGTTGATTAGTAATTTATTTTTTTACTACTAATAAAATGGTGAGTTATTGTAAGAAAAAAGTCGCAAGACTGTTAATTTTTTTATTACACGAGTGCCTATATTTGCTGCGCACAGATTGACTTTTCAATGTTCGATGACCTTTCAAAAGAGAATGGATGAATTTTCGAGGATCCTAATAACCTGTGATTTGTGCGAAAAATTCTGCTCATTTGTTGAATGATTTATTCACCTGATGACTTTGCAAAAAAAATTTTGAGAGGACATAAAACTTGGTGAATGGAAAACCGTGTAACGACGACTTAGAGTGGGTTGTCGTCAATAAATTGTTTTTTTCTTTATACCTCATCAATTCTAAGTTGGAAATTCTTGCTGGTGAGAAATTTTCAAGATTGTACGAGGGAAATTCTGAAGATAAGACTGAATTTAAAAACAGATACTTGAAACAGAGAAAAAAAACACGGATGAAAGCGTTAGTTCGAGTTAAAATGTGATTCTATTTTATGGAATGCGTCGGACATAGCAGAAGAGCACAATTTTTTTTTCGTTACAGCTTGAATTTCAATGCAATTCTTGTTAATTGGGAAATGCGGCAATCAGGTTTCAAAACTCGCCAAGATTATCAGCTTCGGTAACTCTTCACATTTAACTCCTAAACTTCCGCTTTTTGAAAATATTCTAATCCTAATGATATTGAAATTACACGTAATAATGATGGGATTAACGTCTGATGCCCAGTGGTAAAACTGCCAAGCTGCAGATGACATGAGTCGGTCAGACAAATAACGAGAGCCAAAGTACTTACATCTAATCCTGTATGAAGCGGAACATTTTCCTATCGGATTACTGAGCAAAGTTTGCATGTAATTACGAGTAAGGTATCTCATCAAAGTTTCAAATTAAAGACGATTAAAGCCATGAAACTTTCTTACATTAATTTTATATAAATGTTATAAAATGCATGAAACACTCACAAAAATGGGTAACCAAGTCTAAAAAATTCCTAGATGCTTTGAGGCCCTGATATCCCTATATTTCAGACTGGTTGAAATAAAACTGCATGGAAAAAGAAACGAAAGATTTTTACCGGTAATACCTCAGGTCTGGGGTTAACGAACATAACCTACTTCGAGACGCCTCAGTTTTTCAGCGTGTAAATGTTTCAGCCTTAACTGGTTACTATTTTTTTGGTGTTTTTTATTTTTGTGACATTATATGCAATTGCGATGTTTTTATAATGTAACATTGTTCATTAGATTTGGGCACAAAAAATCTAAATGCTAGCTCATTCATGAGAAAAACCTAAATCTATAAAGGTCGAATTCGATATTCCGAGAATGAAATGTCGTCCACATCTTGCAAATCTCTTGCGGTGCCAGGCTTCAACTTTTTTTTTACTTTGATGCGGCGTCAAAATAAAATCATCACATCAGAGAATTCATCAATTTTCATACACATCAATATTTAGTGCGTCATTTGACTTGAGCTTTTAGATATTGGTTTTCTGGACGTTTGAATAAAGGGCTTTATTTGTTCCATTTCAGTCCCAAAAATAAAGTGCAAACAAAGATACTTGTTCTTCTAGTTATCGAGATTAGAGTCGTTTTGATATAAAATTGACAAATATCAACTCACTAGAGCATAAAATTGAACCCGCACGAGGGCGACAGTTCAACAAATAACCGCTAAGAAACGTGGACACTGAAGATTGCCCATAAAAACCAGAAGTGTCCGCAAGTATGTTCGAAAAAACTACCCGCCATGTTAACGCTACTCCATGTAATTCTATTTTGTGTCGTCTTACTTGGTCTGGCAATCTAGTCCGTAGGATCATAGGATAAAATCCTGGCCTCTGTGAGGCTGAGAAGCAAGTCGATTCCCGACCAATTGCAAGCCTTTAAATTCATTGAAAAATAAAGGAAGTAGATGACGTTCAAATTTTTAAAAACATAAATAAATATAAAAATAAAATGAGAAATAATACCGGTAATTTATCACAAGTCTTATTTCACTAACATAAATAATTGAGTTGGTCATTCTCAAAAAGACATAAGCGCCAGAAATGAAAATATTTGAAAAGCAGAAAACCCTGATTAAATCGACCCGTTCCAAATCTCAGAGCTTTAAAATATTAAAGCATTTCATAATTAACCACATTATAATCTAAGAATTAAAACGGGCCGATTTTACGGTTTCTACTGTTTTTCTTGCATTTTCAGTCCTGAAATTTTTGAGAACGACCGATTAAATTTCAGTCGCTGACGTAATCATAAAAGCTGTTAAAGATATTGCCAAATTTTGCATTTCTAATGAGAACCTTGAAAATTCCGAACTTTTCTGCGAAAAAAATTGAGCTTTTTGCCACATTGTCTCCGCAAGACCTCATGAATATATCGGCAAAGTTTAAAATAGGCTCTTTTAAAATTTGCCGATGTACGCATGAGGTTTTGCGGAAACAATGTGGCATGTTCTACCAGGACTTTCTAACCTTCACTCAAAACTCTACTCACATAAAAAAATTAGTCTGCTCTCCATATTTTTTCTTGTTGTTTTAAGCGTAGTGAGCGTGGTATTGAGTAGGAGAGAAAAATACAAATATTTCTTTCCAGCTGCAGAAAAGTTCGCGCTGATTTCATGGAAATAGTGCATCCGCCGGAAAGTTATGAAACCCACTAGGCACTACGCACTACTCTCTTATTTGTTTTCCAAGCTCACGTGATGGAAAACTGATAACAGCGACGCGGATACAGACAGGCGGGATGCACGAACGATCGGGAGATCTGGCGCTCGCAATCCGTCTGAACCCAAATAAATCACCTCGTTATGAAAGCGCCCTCGTCCATAAGGAAAACAGGAAAAATGGCAGAAGACAGCGCATTTTTGCAATCTCGAGGCAGAGAAATGCGGCGGTAAATGTCGAGTAAAACTGCAGCGTGCAGCGTTGCACCAGGAAGAGTGTAAGAGTTCAGCGTGCAGCCATTGTTGCAGAATGGACCCACGGACCCACGTCGCGTCGCACCATGGTTTTGAAACGTAAAATGGACGGACATTTTTTGCTTACATGTTTCACAGTTTGAAAAAGTGAATTTATCCCTTTTTGATTCAACCCTTACTATACCTATGGATGGTTACGGTAAGAAATTTCAGTATCTGATTATTAAAAAACCCAAGAAAACGGATGACCAAAGCTATAAACAACAAACACAAAGCCAGGGGCATTTCGGAGTGGTTTCAACCCCCTCCGAAATCACCCCGAAATGCCCCAATCTTTAGTTTAGTATCTGCTTGTTGTTCTTTAGCTTTGATCATCCGCTTTCTTGTGTTCTTCAGTTGAATTATTCGGGCTAATTTTGTGTATTATTGTTATTTGATTATGATTGATAAAGTAGGAATAACCACTGAACATAGATTGCGCTGTAGTTGTAGGTTTACCGACCATAATATTTTCTTTAAGATGCTGTTATCATTATCGTGGGAAACCCGTTTTCGTCCCTCGAAATTAGCAGAGAAAACCGATTATCTTAATTTCTTTCTATATTTTTATGTATCAAAAGGGCTCTATGTATTGTAAGGTTGCCGTTATATCTTTCATGGAAAAAAAACTTGGCGTTTCAAAACTTTCGTGAAAGCTCAGATAAGCTTCTTCTTTGTACGTGCAATTTACCTAAGATCTAAAAAGTACTCATCTGCATCAACTTGAATTTAATATTTTTCCTCAGAAAACGTGTTGTACAAGAGAATAATTTCCTGTTAATATACTGAAAAAAAGAAAACAAAATAGTTGTTGAATGCAATTCTATGTCATATCAAATAAATCCAATGCTGCAGTTTGGTTAATTAAATACTGCATCAGATATCCGCTGTAGAATGAACCCAAATCAAATCAGATGAAGCCAATCATATTTTTCCTTTATTTTATCTGACATTGCCGTTAAGGCGACTGTCTTTTTCCTCTTTGTTTTCAGAGTAACCATGTGCTTTCCCATAGTGCGACGCTGCAACTGCATCAGNGGGGGGGGGGGGGGGGGGGGGGGCTGCATGGACGGGTCCGAGTTTATCAGCGTCGCGGCGCAATGCACCGTGCACCGCGGGCAGCTCGCGGGTGGGGAGAGGTAAAAGTGAGTCTCACAATCTACCGGAATTAGTAATCTATCGAACGCGGCGCCGCGGTGACTTCAACGCGCGGGTAGAAAAGTTGCCGGTCTCCGAGACTCGTATTGTTTTTTGCGGATCGGTTCTGTTCCGAATTGTCGTGTGTGAGTGTCCGACGGTTTACTTCCGTCGATTTCATGCTTCGTTTTTTCCCAATTTCGGAAAGACGAGTGAGCCTGGAGAGCTGAAAGGCTGAAACCTTTGGATAACCTAATTTTTGAGCAAGGTATGTTCAAGGAACTTACTTTTGTGATTACGTATTATAGGTTAGGGTGATGATAAAGCTGCAACATTGGGCCCGTTTAATAGGAGAGGATTCCATCTAGATTAGCTTTAGAACATATTTAAAGCCAAATCAAGAGATTGGAGGATAAATTTACGATCAAACCTACGCTGCTTACCTTCCTATGTTTTAAAGCCTTAGAAACTTTGTATACAAACTAGTTTAAATTATCATAGACTCAAAAAGATCTTGTTTAAATTATAGAGTACTGGTATAATTACAATATAAGTCGAACAGTTTTACGCTCATAGGAGGAAAATTATGTACACCTGTGTGTGTATGTCATTTTTCATGCAAGGTGTGAGGAGTCAATATTTTGATACAAGTCCAATTTTTTTTCAAAGTTTATCTTTCCGATCTCGCATTTACGCAAAGTATATTTCAAAATTGAACCAAAAAAAAAAACAAAAAAAAATCATTCCTAATTCATGAGATTTTCAGTTTACTGAACAATTTTTGAACGTGTATGCTCGCGTAGTGCATACTTTGTGATCAATTTTCCTACAAGCCGAGCCATTGATCTAACCTCAAATAGATACAATTGTTCGGAATTTCTGGTCTAAACTGCATGCTTTTACAAACTATGGATTCTGTTACCTCGTTAATCAGCCATCATGAGCTCTAAATGTTGTGCTTTGAACATGAAGCTCCTCTTCTTATTCATGCCATTATTCTCAAATTGACCTCCTTTGAATTAAAATTATACAGAAGGACGTCAGTAGACGTTTGTCTAGATTTGAAGATCAAGTAATATATCAGGACTAATGAATCAGAAGTTCAGATGGGGAACTCATCTGAATACATGACGGGTGGATCGATAAAAAAATAGCAAACATTCATGATGCGAAAGAGGACGGCAAATATAACCAAAACCGCGCAAGACATAGACGTAATATGTAAGAATTTTAAACTCACACACGAAAGCGGATTTTTCTATTGTAAACCGGTGCCTATTCTCTTCCTAGTATCAATACTGATCAGTGGTGATTTTGCAAGTTGGCATTACTGTTTTTTCTCCATTTAAATCCATTGAAAACATCGATTTCAGATGAGCTGCCTCTTCTAAAATCGATTGTTATGCATACATTTGAATGCGGAGGAAAAAAAGTGTTGCGAACCTTCAAGAATCTCCACTGTATCGAAGATTGAATGAAAACAGTTTACACTTCAAAAGCACGACGTTATCTTTTGACAGCATCCGTAGAGATGTAGAGAAAAATTAATCATCCCATCGCTGAGGGCCGATTCCATTTAACTACTGTTCCTATAACTAAAATGAACTGCCTCCTGCTGAGCTGTCAAAATAGGAACTTATTAGATACAGTGTAACAGAGTGTCCAGTGTTTAAGCATCTAGAACGCCCACACCTTCCAAACTACTTTCTCAGTGGATATCATCATTATGTCATCAGCTATGAATGTGCGAAGATAAATATTATAGATTTCAACGGCGATAATTACAAAACTTGAACGAGTGACGCACGGCTCTCACCTGATGTATGCCGCGTTACCGCAGACAATAAAAACTCCCAATAAGGGGACCAAGAATGACAAATCCAAACGGACGCCTCATTATTATGCCAAATTGAATAAAAAGTTGGAGAAAAAAATTCGCTGCTCGACCGAAGATCCGAAGGAACTGATATCAATCGAATTTTAGCCGCCTCTAGGCCGAGAGTTACATCTTGAACATAATGTTTCAATAGCGTTCTTTAGGTTAGGAATAGATTTTTTTTTTAATAAAAAGAATAACGGACCAGAAATATCGCTTGAAACGGCTAGAGGGTGTTTTACTGAGTTAATTGCTATGATATGAGTTGGTGTCAGGCAAAAGCGGCCTTTTAATGAAACTTTAAATGTTTGATGGATGTTTATTGGTGAAATTTTGGGATCAAGAATATTCATTTTCAAGTTTTAGACGCTAATCGCTTTCTATAATGCTCTTGAAAAATTGAGCTCTTTCAAGCCATGAGTCGCACCATTGATTGCGATATATCGATTGATCGGCCATTTAAACCTATGGAAAGGAATCGATAAACAGGGTGTTCGCAGCGAACACCTTAATAATCGATTCTTTACCATGGGTATAAGGGGTATAACAATAGATATATCGCAAATCACGCCACGCCACTGGTCGGCACTAGCGCGGTGTCAAGTTCACCTAAGTTCTTAAACTTGCGATTAATTGTTCTCTGAATTTGAAATGCACTTTGAAAGGTAAATTGTACGTAAATTTAAATTTTTACATATTCTTTACGCCAAAGAATGCAAAATTAACCAGTATAAGCTGTTGTACATTGGCCTAATTTTATTTTTCCCCCAAACGTAGCCTTGCCTGATTCCCTTACACATGTAAATGTTTAGGATTCCCTCACACATGTAAATGTTCAGGGCATTTTCTGCCAGTTTTCATTTATAAAATGAACGGTGGCAGGCACTGTGTGCGGCCTTTACATAGTGAACTACTATACAAGGTCTGAACTAGAAAAAGACGTTAGATGTTTTCTATTCAGAATCCTGATTTTCAGACTCCCTGTTGGGTGATTCGTGATTCACTTTCCTCGTCAAATTTTGATGAGAAAATTTGTAGCGCGGTGCCTTAATTGGACGTATTTCTGCCAAATAAAACTATGTGCATTCAGACATGAGCCCTGAGACCCAAAAGAATATATGCATGACAGGACTCACGTCATAACGCACATAGTTCCGTTTGGCAGAAATACGTCCAATTCATACCCTGTCTAGTGACCCATTTCTTCTAATTAAAAATCACACACTACTGTGGGAGAAATTTTATGCTTGAACTACCTACATTTGCAGATTAACAGATGATATGAACATAAATCGCAAGACGTCCTCGGACGTGTTATAACGGCAGATTTCAGTCGCTTAAATCAAATCTTTCTGCCCCATGTCTGTTTTTTTTTTTTTTTGTAAGAAGATCAAGGAAAAAACCTCGAATATTGTCGATTATTGTCTGGAAAACGGACAAAAAATTGAGAAGGTGTTTTGACCCACAGAGCTCAAGTATCGATCTTACGACCGTTTTGGCGAGACCATAACTAATGTATGCAATCAGGTGATTCGGCCAAAACATTACATCGACCTCTCGAGAGCCAAGGAAAAATACCCAAAAGTAAATGCGAGCGGTCGTATAGAAAGTTCGCCAATTCGATTCAGTTTGATCAATTTTTTATTCGCATGTTTCGTAATACGCACGCGGCATGTGCACATGGAAAGAATGCAGTGTGTTTAAAATTTACGAACTGTTAGGCGTTAGGGCCTGAATATTCATAACTCCTTCTCGGAGCTTATTTTGGGGTTTCTCTATCATATTTAAGGTAAAATTTTTCGTTAAGGAGTCTGTGATATTTTTTTTATTTTCAAGATGCTTGCTGTGAAAGCGATACTTCATGATTCTCTATAAATCCAATTCCTTAAAAATTAAACTTGGTTCTAAAGATAAGAAATTGAAGTTTTGGTGATTAAAGTTTTTATGTAGGATGAAAAAAACAACACCCAAAAAAAATCATATATTTACAAATCGTAATTATATAAATAATAAAATGAAGTTACCAGAAGAATAACACGTTATGTATAATACAATAAATGAAAAATATTTGTAAAGTACAATGGATGTATAATTCATACGCCGAAAACAGCAGGTAAAAATTCAGGAACCGAGATCAGAAAAATAAACTCTCATTGTGAAGAGTTTGGAGGCATTCTTTCGAAGTTGTCATTGTTTCTTCTTTTTTTTTTTCATTTTCTTCATGTTTGCACAAAAAAGAGGCATACACATTTTTTTCCCACCGTTCCCCTTCCCCCGGGGCGATTCGGTAACACCCCCCAAAACGACTCTGAAAAACAGGGTTCAAATGAAGAGTTTTCTAAGACACCTATGTACTCAATCTACGACACTATATGTTTCATTCATCAACACTTTATTGATGCTTTGTGTTGAAGCATGAGTCGTGTGCTCGTATATGCGGTGCGCTCTTGATTTCTGTTCCGGTTTGACAGTAGTCATTCACGGTCAAATAAACAATAATGTACTTCATGTAAACAACTTCAAAAAATCTCACAGTATAGCTTGAATGCGTTTGCTGAGCAAATATCAGAATTGAGATTGTAAGAATGTCCGCAAAAGTGATAGTAAAAGTAATAGTGAGTAATCTATAATGTTTAGAACTGGATGATACTCACATCCAACCGATTTTCGTTGTTGCGTGTGCAAAGTGCGGATATCATGAGCTTATCGACTACTTCTAATAATGTACTTATACTACCGTCTAAATTTTAAACCGCAGCTCAAGTACGAGGTACCTAGCCACAAAACATATAATTGCAGCCGTAAAACGAATATTTGTGTGAAACAAGACTTTAATTGAGTGCCATAAATAAACATGCTCCGCGCAATAAAACTTTTTTCGGGATAATTAAGCTATTTCACGGGTACCCGCGCGCACGTCTGAGCAGTCAATCATCTCGCCGCATCCGCAACTTTTAATTTGTCAGTTTTTTGTGAGTGGCTGCTTGTTCAGCAGACAAATTCTCTAATTAAAAGTCAATAAATTAGGGGACTCTTTGTTGATTTGTGAGACAATTTGCGTGGAAGTGCTCCTTTTTCTGAGCAATCAACAATCAAAACGAGTGTAAGTTGCTGGTTGCTAGTGTGCACTAGAAAAAAAACACATTGGATCTAAAGTCCAGACTCTTGAAAACATTGACAAGAAAAAGGACTCTTGATTCAATCAGATTTAAGCTTAAATCAAAAGAAAATCCGCTCAAATTAAGAGGCTTGGTTCTTGATTTAAGCTTAAATCCGATTGAATCAAGAGTATTCTTTCTTGCCGATGTTTTTAAGAGTCTGGACTCGAGATCCAATGTGTCCTTTTTCCAGTGTGCCCTATTTTTTTTTTGGTTTTATTCAAATATAGCTTGTTGCCACGATTATTATTATTTTTTTTTTTTGTTAATTGCAGCTATCTATATCGGACTGCTCGTTTATGAACCTTTTTTTTATTAAGAAAAAATGATTCCCCGCAGTAGGGGATAAAGGCTCGACGTGGGGCCTCTGTGCGTGGTATTTTCTGTGTAAAGAAGTCGAAACTTTAGTCATTGGATCTCTACTATGAAATTGTAAAGTAATACATAACACCCCTTTGACTGCTGATTCTCCAAATGAAAGAGGAGATATTTACTATAATTAATTTGTAGCGAATTTAAACTCGAGTTAGAATATTTTTTCGAAAAAATTAATAAGTGATTTGTATTTTTAGTTAGGGAAATAGATTATTTTTTCCTGCTGCCAGAGAAAAAAGTGTATTGAGTCCTGGCGGTTAATGTTGAAACGGAATAACGCATCTCTTGGTTTGAAAACTTCTTGTCGTACTTTATTTTTGCGTAGAAAATGCATTCTTAAAAATGTACCTTACTTCCATCTTTCCGCTGCGCTAACAATCAACCCGTGAAACTGTTGAGCGAAAAGGTAGGTTCCTTCTTTTTTATGGAAATGAAAAAGAAAGTGTGATGATTTTGGAACCTGTGATCGATACTTGTTTCTCTAATCACACATGTGAACTTCTGTCTGCCTCATCTTAGGTTTTAGTACATTTTTCGGATGCTTATCATACACCCCAAGAAATTTAATGTTTTCAAGATAAATTAATAGTTCTATTTCCGTTTGGTAAGTTCAAAAGTTTTGTTGTATCGATATGACGATGCGTTGATACCTGATCACCCTTCTCTCTTTTTTACTCACTTGTCCTCTGGACGTCACCTAGAAATATAGATATCGATCACTTATCCGGAAGAATCTTAGGTATTCGAGGCTTTTCTAATTAAAATCATCAAAAGACCATGAATAAAACGCATAGTAGTACGAGCTGACAGCGTTTGAACCGCATTCTTGTCACAGAATGCTGGAGGACGCTCTTAAAACAACAATCATCAAAATATGCCACCCAGTGCTCGATGATGGCTTATCCGAGTAAAAGTGTGAATAAGAAGATCTCTTCCGCGCATTACAACACATAGACAGTATTGAAATTACACTGTTTAAAACTTTCAAGAAGAAAAAAATTGAGCTTATTGCAGTTTCGGTGGATTATTTTTCACGAATGAAAGCACGCATTTGAAAAAGCATAGAAGTACGAGATAGACTTCCAATCTACTTTATACAGGAAGACTTTTTGTAAAATAGGCAGTAACTACAAAAAAATACAATTCTGTTGGTTTCTGTCTACCTATAATATCGAAGAGTGCAGAATTTTCTCGAGCCAACGACCGATCGGTTTTTCACGAACTGCGTAGGCAGTAGAAAAATTGCGTAGGTTTCGACCTTCAATAATGGATGATACAAAATTCAAAGCCTCAGATCCAAAACGACCCATCTCGGGACAAATAAAATTTCTCAGGAAAAGAGTGTTCCTGCGCAAATAAATGAATATCGTAAAAAACCCGAGTTGGGTCGTTTTCGAACTGAGATATTCAATCAATTAAGTTTTGACCAGAAGTTGCTCAATTTTGGTGCACGCCTACCGAAGTAATGCACGCTTGCTGCCCTGCGAATTTCCAAATAGCGCACGCATCTCGAAACTTAGCGCGATTCACAGTCAAGAACCGCGAGCGAAACTAGATCGAGACCCGCTCACCGCTGAGGGCTCGGGGAGACGGCGGCGCGCGGCGCAATGCTTGAAGTATCCCTACGATTTCGCAGGCGCTTCCCGCGATCGTTTTCCCCGGAAAATTAAGAGTGTTGAAAATTGTCTTCCCGAATAAGAGGTCCCTTTTCATAGATCCGGTCACAACTATGAAGCAACATAACTTTCTCGCATATCCACAACAATGAAAAAGAGCTTAGTCTCTTTTCCACTGACTCAGAGACTTGAACGCATGAGTAGAAACGTTGGATGGGGTAAAACACATGATACAACTATTTCGACATCCAAGTAGGTAAAATTGCATACCCAGGAAAAGAAAGCGGACTTAAACTCTTTTCAACTGACTCAGAGACTTTGACGCTTGAGTAGAAAAGTTGGATGGGGCGAAGCACTTGATACAAATATTTTGATCCTGAAATTAATTCTGATTCGCCCTCTGAAAAATCGAAGGGGGTCCGATTAGTTTCTGCTAAAATTGTAATGATTCAGATTAGCACTAAAGATAAAATTACATACCGACAAAATATAGGTGAACATGGCGTTCTGTACCATCCCAACTATTCGTTTCGTAAAACTCAACTTTCAGTCCGTGCAACCGAAAGTTCGGTTTGTAAAGCCGAACTTATGAGGTCAAAAGAACTGATGAAGGAAGTATATGAAAGACATGAACCGAACTTTTGATGTCACGAATAGAAAAAAATCGGTTCATTTCTAAGGAGTGAGCGCCCAACGCACCGATTCTTACAAAAATGTATGACAAACATGTTGATGTTTTGTAAATATTTTAGGCTCAGACACTTTACAAGTAAATGTATAGGATACAAAGAAGTATGCTTTATTAATCAATTTATTTTTATAATCAGTTTTATTTTTAATCGGGTAATTTGTCAACTTCTAAATGATAAGTTTGATTTGGATTCTTTCCAACCCGATAAAACTATGCAAAATGGACAAGAAAGTACATTAAAATTCTTTGAGGCTTAGTTCCCATTAGGTCAATGTCAAGAAAGCTATTGAATTTTCTCGCCATTTTAATAGTTTCAACTCCGAAATACGTATCCGTTAACCGCTTCAACGCAGCGAGTAATCACACTAGATTGGACGGCATGAAAGGAATGAATTACTAAAAGTCAATGCTTGAGCTTTATAAGACGGAGTTTTAATGGCAAGAATCCTCTCGGAAAAAAAGAATAAGAAAAAACTGACAATACATGCGGATGCATGCCTTCATATAGACAGTGAAAGTGACGACTGCTTACTAATAACGCGCTTAATTATATGGAGAATTTATAAATAAGTTCTCCCCTCTTTTTTAGGTTCCTGATGATGGTTTGTTGGTATGGACTTCAGGTTTTATGATAATTGCAGTGTTGTCAGGTTTCACAAATTATGTATCATGTGGTATTAGCACAATGTTAGACAATGTATATCGCATACTTGTCTTATACAAGACGAGTAATCGGGAAAAATGGAAATAAGGAGGTGCACGGTATATTACCTGATATTTTACCGGTAGTAATTCAACGTAGAGGCCTTTGAGAACCTGTAAAACAAAGGCTTCTTAAATTGTTGGCTGTTAAGTCATTTCCTAACGACTAAAAGCACAAAATATAGATTTCAAAAGAAATTCCAAAATTTCATCTTACCTATAAAACCAAATGGCGTCACAGGTAAAACTAGTGGCCGCATCGATATGTCAACAGTTTCAAAAATAACCAAGACGTGACGAATATAGTGCAGAGAGTTCATACTTCTGTTGACGTTTTCTCTGACGAGTGCGTCTCTTGAGCTCACTTTGTTTTGGCCGCAGTTGCATAGCATGCGCTGACCGCCCTACATTTCTTACTGCATCTTATTGCAAGCTAGCGTGTAATTAGCCTGAAGATTAAATTAGAGAGCAATGTACCCAACGCGAGGCGCGCGGTTTGTTTGCTTTCAGCTATGTATCGGTTTCGTTTCTCTAACACACATTCCAATATTTCCAGTTTGTTTTGCATTAACTGACTGCTAATGAATGAAAGATAGCGAATCGGGTGTATGTGGGAATAATTATGTTTAAACGCGAAGTAGAATTAGATATTTTGCAAAAATCATATCAAGATACAGGCCTTTTCGTTAAAATGCATGGATTTAGATATCTGAGCAAGCCGAAGTTTTTCTAGGAATGAACTTATTTTATAAAAATAAGAATATGATGGGTTACAGATTTTTATTTTTTTTACCTTGATAGGGCTATATAACAATGCGCGAAAGCATGATTCAGTGATAAATTACCAAAGTTCTTCTCTCTGGACATTCCAAATTCTGATAGACAAGATGGATTAAACATCCAAACATGATAATATACCTATTTGAAGCAGATAGCCTTCCTCATTTTTGTCTTAACGCGAGGTCGACATAAGAACGTAACTCTATTTCAATGTTGCCAAATTTCCCCTCGTAAATTTCATTTTAACCAGAAAAATCTTGGGCATATCTAACTGAAAATTTCACGGATTTTTCCTCCGATTTCATGCAAAAATCAGAAACTTTTGAATAAAAATTGCACGGATACAGTTTTGTAAAATAAAGTAACTGTTGGAGTCAATTTGACAACCTTGGAGTAGAGTTACGTTTAAGCTCATGGAACTTTTGATTTTTGGCGCCATAAAAGGAACAGTTAACGTCTTTGAAAATACTGATTCAAGTGATCGAGTCATAGGGCCCTAAATCAATCTTTACTCACCACGATCTTTGATTCTGTTGATATTATGGCACTCTGAAAATTGAACTGACATTTTGAAGCTTTAATGCATCCGTTTACCTGGTGTTGAGGCAGGTCAGCACGTCTTTTGAAACCGCTATAAATTATCTTCTCCAGCCCACGGTAATCGTTGAATATTAACTTTGAGGCGACAGCAACTTGATCCTCGGTCTTTGGTGCGGCTCAAGATTCGGAAAGATCATTCCATTCTCGAATCTTTGATTGGAATACAGTGTTGTCAAATTACCCTTCAAGAAAATTATTCAAATTTGACCATCTTTTTTATGAAAAACGTTAAAAGGCGTCAAATAGTTCGAACTTTAACTTAATTTTTAACTGAAAACTTTCATCAAACTTCGCCAAATTTGATCCCCACCACTAAGCTGTTTTTTCGTGTGCAGATTTTACGTTCATTCACAAGTTTCTTCAATTTTTACAGATGAACGAGATGCAGCCTGGCATAGTGGAGTGGTACGATGGGCGCTCCATTCTTGTGACTGGAGCCACGGGGTTTATGGGCAAAGTTTTGCTCGAAAAGTTGCTGAGAGCATGTCCAGGAGTGAAAAAAATTTACACTATTGGAAGAGCAAAGAGAGGATTTTCTCCCACCGCACGTATGAACGAAATGTTTAAACTTCCGGTAAGAACCTTCGTATCTCCTCCTCAAAAGCTGGTAAAGCTGTATTTTAATTTATTCGAAAAAATTGACCAAAATGATTATTACATCGAATTCTGACCATTTTTACACGGGATGTCTTGTGATGCTGTATAAATGTCGAAGAAATGTTCCATGCTTATTGTACTGGAATCTGGGTTTGGCAAATGTAATGTATTGTTCTTTTGAAATCGATGCATCACTTGCAGATTCACTGAAAAAACATTCTCGGCGTTTTTACCACGGTCCGTTGGTACCTTTACCATCTCACTTTTTTTTTACCAATTATTGGTAATTTTACCAAGACAGACTGGAGCTTATCTAAAAGCCGGCATTTTTACTGTTTTTTCAGGTAATAGTACCACTTCTATTGGTAATCAATTCCCGGTAGCTTTGCCATTTTATCTCGGTAATTCTACCATAGTCGATAAAAAATACTGGCGTTTTTACCAAGGTCCAGTAAAATTACCGAGAAAGTTCAATAATTTTACCGAGATTTCTCGGTAAAATGACCAATTCCATAAATAAAATGGTAATTTTACTAATAAAAAACTTGGATCAAATAGAACCCTGACTTCTTGGTAATTTTACCATTTTCTTAGTAAATACACCGAAATTTTTTTTTCAGTGTTAAACCATCCCGGCCAAAGACTCCGCACCAAAGGATTTTTATAGCACAATTTTTCACGATCGACATTATTTTTCGCGTCGTGATGATTGATGATTGACTTGCCGATCGATTGTTTCAAAAAAGTTCTTAATACACGTCAGATTACGAGTGAGCCAATAGGTCATCGATGACGATCGACCACGTCGGGCCGTCAAGTTTATTCCACTTTAACATAGAAAAAAAATATAAAATAAAAATAAAAGTTAATGCTGCTGACCAGCTCAGCCTTCGCTGAGACTGAGAGGTGCAAAACAAAGTTTTTCTCCCCGCATTAATTATCGTCTTACTCTGCTTGAATAAGGGGCCGTTCAGAAAATACGTGACGCTCTGAGCTCGCTTTACAGGGAGAGGTTGGATGAGTCCGAGTCTGCGTTACGTAACGTTGAAATTGGACGTATCTCTATCAAACGGAACTATGTACATTAAGACATGAGCCCTGAGACCCATAAGAATACATGCATAACAGAGCTCACGTCATAATGGACATAGTTCCGTTTGACAGAAATACGTCCAATTGACACTTGCAAAAATTCAAGACTAAAATCAATGCGAGGTGGCAAGTTTTCATCTCAAAACGCTAATTTCAAAAGAGAGAGATTCAAACAGAGCATTCGGTGATTTTGAGGAAGGCATAGAACTACATTACGGGTACTTTACAGGGAGAAGAGGTAAAAATCCGATATTCAGAGTTATGTATTTTATGAACGGTCCGTGACCAGTACCGGGTATCCAAAATACTTCTCTTCGATCACATTTTCATTAAATAGTGACTTGCGAATGCGTGACTCGCTAGCATCGAAAAAAACCACGAGCTTTGTGAGGCGAAAACAAGCCAATCTCCCCAGAACGCAGGAAGACATTTCTGGCACCGAACCACAAAAACCCAGTGAAAAGAACAAGGCGAGACGCAAGAAGCAGCAAGAAGAAGCTGCACCCTGAGGTGGGGCCAGTCCGGTCTGGTCTTGGCGAATCCGAAATTATCATTTATCGAAACCCACAGTGAAGTAATCCTTGTTTAATCGATCGATTATCGATTAAGCGTCGATAATCGACCGATAGCCGATTACCTCAACGGACCAGACTAGACCAGACGCGCGCCCAAACGTAAACGGCACTGCAGTCGGCCTATGACGCCCGCAGGCAGTCGCTTCTACGTAGACCAGGCGTGTTCTAAGTAGGAACCACGTAGCTCCCGGTGTAAATCCTATGTAGATAGGTGGTTTAGTTTACGCTTTGCTCCTACGACACGAAAGTTGACTCGAAGTTCAACTAGTCTGGAACGAGTTACGGGTGCGGTAGCGAGGAACGCAGCTCGAGCTGCGGATGCACAAAAAGACGCAGCTAAAAATGTTCCGATTCGAAATGTTGCGAAAGCGCCGTGGCACGATCAAGGAAAACGGAATCGCTGGGATGTTGGATAGGTCAGCGTTGAGCCGCGAGATGGATAATAATGCAGCGGAAATTAAGAAGTTGCCGCACTGCCATCTGCTGAAATTTAATTTTATAGAGTTGCTGTGGTATTAATGTTTGTGGCTTGCCACTGACAGAGAGTCTCTGTTAGATACACTGGAAAAAAACACATTGGATCTAGAGTCCACACTCTTGAAAACATTGACAAGAAAAAGAACTCTTGATTCAAGCAGAGTTAAGCTTAAATCAAAAGGAAATACGCTCAAATTAAGAGGCTTGTCTCTTGATCTAAGCTTAAATCTGATTGAATTAAGAGTATTTTTTCTTGTCGATGTTTTTAAGAGTCTGGACTCTAGATACAGTGTGTTTTTTTTTTCCAGTGTACCAGTGGTGCTTTGCGAAATATTGATTGATTTGCCATTTAAACGTATGAAAAAAGATCGATAAACAGGGTGTCTGTAACGAACTCCTTAATAATCGATTCTTTGCGATAGCTTCAAATGAGAAAGTATCGATAATTGATCAATGATCATTCATGCCTCGCCACTGTTACATACTGGGAGTAGAAGGTACATCCCCCCGGCCGTTTTACGGTTGAACCCTCTAAAGACGCCTCGCGCCCTAAAATCATCGTCTCCGGGACGAGGGAACGTATCTCTATTCCAAGATTGCAAAGTTGACTCGAATAATTTAATTTTTCAAAAAATACATCCGTTCGATATTTTTCCGAAACGTCCCTGATTTTTGAATGCTAAAAAAAGAAAAATCAATGAAATTTCCGTTAGAAATGCCCAAAATCCTCCTGGTAAAATTTTAATTTGCCAGGAGAAATGTGGCAACATTGAAATGTGGGTTACGTTCTTTCATCGCGGGAACGGCGAAATGACTGCTTTTTGAAATCGTAATTCAAACAAGCTGCTGGTTCCAACACTACTGTGTTGGAGAGCTCGCCTTTGGGAAACTATTAACAACTATTAATGATTTTTTCTGAAATTGTATATGTATTAAATGAATCTTTACCCAATTATCAGAGGTTACATGCCGATGCAAAATGTTATGACGTAATTTCATATGACAAATTTTTCACATTACAATAAATAAAGAGAAATAAAGAGAGAGAGAAATGGAATTATCTTTTATGAATGTGATTTTGCGGCAAATGTTGCAATGGCTATTTTTGCCATCGCATTTTTGTTTCTGGCTTTCATAGCTGGTTGATAAGCTTTTTCTTAACTTGTCAACAATGTAATGAAATCATATGATTTAATTTTAATTTTTTTTTT